TTTGTGGGTTAGTTAAGGTTATGATCGCTTGAAGGGTCCAATGAACAGAAGTCAAATAAGCAAATAAGGTTTCTGAAGGATTATTAAATGAAGATTTCTGTGAATTATTGTACCAGAAAGGTTTAGGTTGCAGGGGAGTGCAGAGATTTGGTTTATTTGAGTAAATGCTGATAGATGCCAAATGATACAGTGCCTTTGTAGTGGGCAGATTCGGGGTTTAGAAGTTGAGATGAGTATTGCATAAAAGCCCTTCTGTGTCTTTTTTTGACTGAAGAGGATTGGGGTTTTTTTCTTGTGCCAGCTGCCTCAAAAACTGCTAACCTGATCTTCGTAGATCTGTAGATCTCGGTCATAACTGAGCTGGAATGGCCGAACAAGTCCTCTTCCTGGCTGCAGTAACTGGGCACCTTACGGACCCCCGCACACGGGCTGCCGTCCTGTGCAGCTCCAGTAGGTGGAGTATGGAGGTTCCTCTGTGTTCCATGATGTCGCTCAAAAGGTGGGAGTGGTTCCCTGTGGACTCAGGCAGGATCTTCTTCAGTGGTCAGCTTCTGCCTGATCCAAATTGGTGTGTTCTGGATTTTTTATTTTTTTTGTTTGGTGTGTGTGCGCATAAATGTGCCCACACACGTTTGGCTGCTCACTTCTGTAGTTGCATACAAGTCATCACTGGCCAGAGTGTACCGGTGTACCTTGGAACTGCCTCCATTCTATCCAGTGACACTTCATAAAGCTCAGCTTAATGCCTTCGAATCATGTCAAGTGGGGTGTAGCAAACCCAAACCACCAGGCCAATATAGGGATGCAGAATAATGAGGACAAAGTCACTTGTGAGCTTCTTTCATCATGCCTCTGTGTCCCGGACGCAGAGGCACCACTCGGTGACTGCCTGCCATCCCGGATATACTGCACTTCTCTTTATTTCTATGGTCTGAAGAGGGAGGTGCTACTCGATAAAGTCCTGCCTTCCCTTTGCAACCTGAGCCATGGTCTGGGCAAGTTGTTTTCCCCAACTAGGTCTCAAGTTAGAATTGGATGGCTTTTTAAATATCAGATAATGAGCTCCACAGCTCTTATTTGAGGTGTCGTCTACAAAACCTTTTTAAACATGGCTGAGGGAGAAGACAACTCTGCCCAGCTGAAATAGTTCAGATCAGATGTTACATCCTTGGGTAGCCCAGCTGCATGGTAAGGTTAGAACTCTTTAAGTGTGGTTTTATGAGTCAGGTCTCTCTGTTCAAATGCTCGACAGCCAGTGACCAGGGTGGTTGTAGCAAATTGTGGGAAAATCCATTGTGAACTGTAACTTTATCAACTGCTGTGAAGTTGGTGTCAGTTTTGCCCTAAAGAGATCTTCACCCCACAACAAGCAAAATAAACTCAGTGTCAAGTCTTACATTTTACATGCCAGTATTATGTTACCTTGTAGTCTTCAGACGCCTTTTGAAACTTACTCCTTTAAGAAATTAACTGAAAATATGAATTTGTCCAAATACAGCCATCCAATGTTGAACCCGTGTCTCTCACCATCTGATCATTTAGAGAAAAGGCCACTCAAGATAGGTGTTACCCATTTTATGCGGAGTATGTGTTCCTGCACAAACACTCATGTTTATAGTTGCATGTTTTTTATTTTTTTCCAACTGGAGGTATGGTCTAAAATGATACCTTTTCATGGGACTGAACTTTTTCTGTCCTTTGACTTTTGAAATTGATATGTGAAAATTCAGAAGTACTGGAATTGCCAAATGGCAGACTGGCTGACTGGGTGAATCCCAGCACGGGCAGTGTTTTTGTCCAAATCTGAGAGAAGCAGACTTTCATTTCACTGTCGTTTTTTTCTAGCTGTACGAAGACTGCAGCCATATTTGACTTTTGACTCTTGCACTTTTACACTGACCTGTGGATTAGAATATTTGATGGGTCTTTTTAATGGTGTGTGTCTTATCCTTTTTGTCATGAGTTACTGCTCTCCCTGAAGGATTATTCATGTCATTTTATCAAAACTTAGGTTTCACCTCCGGAGATTGCTGAAGGACCATCTCTCATCTCTTTTACAAAATGAGAGACCTGAGAAAACCTCAGTTTGAAAACAAACATGTTAATTTGCCTAATTTACTGTTTAGCGTAAAACGATCCTTTTCCCTCCATATTTTTCCTCATTTGTTGATAATTTTTGTTTTTTTGACTTATTTTGGAAAATATGTCCATGTTTTCCTGAAACACTGAGTAATATGATATAGCAATTCCTGTAGAGCTGTGGCAGTAATGGCTGCTTGGCTAAAGGCACCCGGCAATCCCCTAAGGATATGGTAGACCAATTCCGGTATCTTTTAAAATGTGATAACATAATATTTGTAAAATGTTTTTCATTGAATAATCCATTATTTTAACAAAAAAAATGCATTTTAAAAGTTGTAGTCTGTTTTTTCCTTTTTTTTCCAGGAGACTGCTCAGATTTTCATTAGGTCCAGAAGCTCGGACTGAGATCATGGTGGTTCTAATGTATGAAAGGATGATTACTCTCGATGGAGTAAACTGAGCCATAGATGCATACTTTAAGAACCTCTGGGTGCACAATTGCCAAATCAAAAACCAATATCGTAAAAAATCTTTATTCAGTGTAAAAAAAAAAATACAGATTGATATGTAATTATTGTATAATTCATGCCTGTTTAAAATATGTTAAATTTGTCCTCTTTCTTGAACCAGACAAAACCAGCACTGTTACCCCTCTGAAATATTTTGATATGCATTCCATCATATGTTAAATGTATGTGTATGTGTGTTTATAATGAAGGCTAATGATGAATAGATTTTTAAAATTCTTTTTTTTTATGTAAAAGTTTCCTACAAAATAAACCCATAAGTTTTATCCCTGGTGTTTATTCACTTGTGCTATATGCTGTGTTAATTACACCACATTACTATGAGGTGACATCAAGACTGCTGGCCACCCATATAAACGCCGTTCCTTTACGTCTTCTGTCTAGGTCAATCTTTATAATGGTTAATGCTAATTGTTGTCGATGCTCCTTTGTCCAGCTCCTCCGGGGTAATCCCGAGGTGTTCCCAGGCCAGCCGGGAGACATAGTCTCTCCAGCGTGTCCTGGGTCTTCCCCGGGGCCTCCTCCCAGTGGGACATGCCCGAAACACCTCACCAGGGAGGCGTCCAGGAGGCATCCTGAACAGATGCCCGAGCCACCTCATCTGGCTCCTCTTAATGAGGAGGAGCAGCGGCTCTACTCTGAGTCTCTCCCGAATGACCGAGCTCCTCACCCTATCTCTAAGGGAGAGCCCAGCCACCCATTTCGGCCACTTGCACTCGCGATCTCGTTCTTTCGGTCACTACCCACAGCTCGTGACCATAGGTGAGGGTAAGAACGTAGATCGACTGGTAAATTGAGAGCTTTGCCTTTTGGCTCAGCTTCTTCTTCACCATGACAGACCGATGCAGCGCCCGCATCACTGCTGACGCCGCACCGATCCGCCTGTCGATCTCTCGACACTCGTGAAGCATTATCATTGTTTACAAATTACAATGAGCCTTCTCATGATATGCCACATCAATATTGCTTTATGGTCATTTCGGTTTCAGGTAAAACTTGACGTTTGGTTTTAATTAAGAATACTCTTCCTTGCAGCACATGGTATTAAGTATTAATCAGCAGCACAGTCTTAACATGTCATTACTTTTCCTGTATTATGTCTCCATTGTCTATCCTTCATATTCATGGAATCTGCATCCATCACAGAAAATGCTTTATTGTGAGCCATTCTGATCTTTGTTTTTAGAGAGATCAGGGGTGGGTTTCCCGAAACCCATTGTAAGTTCTAAGGAGGCTTAAGGAAACTCACCCCAGTCCTATTGCAGATTTAAGTGAGGCATTTTAATCAGCAGTTAGCTGGTTGCTGCACGGTTGGATCTTTTGTTTTCGATGACGTCCGTGCATGCACGTGTCCATCCATTTTCTGTACCCGTTTGCAGGGGCGCCATAAGACAGGGAAAAGTTTGGACGATTCCACGAGTGACAGGGGGGCTAGATAATTGGGAAAATGTCTGGAATGGGGGGAATATCTATAGCAACGCCTCTGCCCATTTGTCCTGATTGCTGGGGTCCGGACCCTATCGCGGAAGCTACGGATGCAAGGCCATTAGCACCTTACGAGCCTTTTCAGATCTTCACTTTCCGCAATGAATACAGTGTCATTAGCATATTGATGCTTGTCACTGTCGTTAATATAATTCATTTTTTGTTCTGCAATATGTCATCAAATGCAGCTCAAGGCATAGACACATCATTTCAATGTTACATTGAAACACTGTAAACTTGCAGACACCTAATATGGTTAACTTTTTGAAATTATTAGAAGTGGTATGTGTCGAAAGTGAACAAATATTTTATAACAGACTCAAAAGAATCGAATCACAGATGAAAGTTAATCTCCAATTCTTTTTATGTGCATTTTCAGCAGTTTTTAATCTTTCCTTTTACTGGCCACAGTTTTTATTTATACTGGTACAGTGGATGTAGTGATCTTTCTCGTATTAAAATTACATGATCCAACGTCAGTAAAAATAAGCGCACGACTTCCTGTTTTAGTCCTCGTTATTTGCTACTCTCGATGTCAATCACGTGATTGTGTTCCGTCTAAGCTTCCCATTGGCTTGTTATTCTATAGGCGGGGCTATTGCGCTCGAAGGCTATCAGCGAACGCTGAGCTGTTGATATAACGTCAGTTTTAAACGAGCAAAGTTTTGCGTTTCGAGTGCTGGTCTTACGCTATAATAACGACCATTTAAAAACACTAGGCTCGACATTTTTGGAGGGTGCGCTGTTTATTCGTAAACCAGGCATCCAAAGCTGTCGTTTTAGAGGAAATAGACACTTTGGTTAAGCCTGGGATATAACCAAGCGCGGCGTGTATTGGTGAGAATCCGTCGGAATGGAGCCCGGCGCTGAGGTAAAGTAGCATGTAGCCTAGCGGCTCCGGTTTAACCGGCCACCACGGCCTTCTCTTCAGCCGACTAACCAGCTAACACTTACAGCATAATTTATGGCACATTAAAGGGTATCACGCCGTAACTGAGACGCATGGAATGGTGTCGGCTGCCAGTAGATTGTAAATTATAATTATTGATTGGCTGTTGCTAGTTACTGTGACGCGAATCTAACGTGGTGGCAGCTGGTTGTTGTTTTGTCGTCTTAATAAAAGGTAGTCCCCGTCCTGCTTCTGTTTTTTCACTTTTTATTTTTTGGTCAGTTGCCAGTAAACTCCTTCCCCCGCTTTTCGTACCTGCTCTGGGGACCGCCAGCTCCTCCTCGGGGTTGTTGACCGCCGTTGAGACAGAGAAGGGTTCCGGTAACTTTGGGAGTTTGCTGACCCCATCTGGGTCACTGGGTTGCCTGATGCTGCCGGATAGGCCGGAGGCTCCAGTCAGCAGATGTCGGTTTACTTAGTCGAGATGTTGGACCGGAGATAAGTTAGTCCTTCCTTTTGCAATCACATTTTTTTTTGCATAGGTGGTCAGATAAAGTGCACTCTCTCCATCGCAGTATGTATGTTATCTAACATCTGTGATATGTGCTGGATCGCAGTTGTCATCAGCAGTCTTGTGCCAAATTGTAATTGCTGTCCCTAATCCTGTGTTCCGGCGATGCTGGACGGAGGAGCTTCACATCGGCCTCGTGTTTACTCAAGCGGCCGCGCTGTTTTTAATGCCCTTATTTTACGGGCATGAGTTTCTGTGTCCCATCTGGACTTCCTGTGATGGGGGTAGGGCCGCCTCGCCGTTCATGGATGTGATGGAGTGCGAGAAATGTGTGGACTGCTGAAAAATAGCGACTGCCGTTTTAACAGTTTTTGATGCATAAAGAACCCCGGGGGTTTTGGGGGGGGGGGGCTTTCAAAAAGTGCCTGCTAGTTCAGAATGGACGATGTAAGCCCAAGTAATACCTGCACAGGACTGGAGCGTTCCCCCTTGGCTGTGATGAAACCTAGACGACTGTCTGCCTCCCTCAAACTGCAGTTACGTTAGAGTGTGTATTTTTTTCGTGTTTTTTCGTGTTGAGCACAAGAGCTGTAGAGGCTACGTTTAGAGACGTTTTTTTACGTTTTTTTTTTTCTGATTTTTTTTTCTGCCTTTATATTGTTTGGTGGCATGTCATTACATGTCCAGCAGTCTGAAGTCTGTGGATTGGTTCCTTTCGGGTCTGCAGAGTGTATTCAATCCTCTGGTCTCCGTGCCTGACCACTTGGAGGGATCCTGGTGTGGATTATAATTTAGGTGAAAATCCTTGTTGCCGCCTCTGATGCAGTACATGCCCAACTAAATTTCGTCCTCCCCAGTAATGCTGTTATATACTCTTGGTGTTGGCATGAGGCATTTGATACCGTAAGCCTTGTAGTATTCTATAATTTAAAGTTCTCTTGTGGCATTCTTGGATTTGTTTTGTAACATAATTGGAGTCTGTAAACCTTACTGAAAGGGGTGAATAATGTATTTTGGGCACAGTGACTCACACCTACAAAATAAACAGCTAAGCATGTTGTTTTGAGGGGAAGGATGACAAGCGATGGTTTTCTCTTCGATATGGGTGAAACGCCTGCCATTGTGGTGTGTCATTTTGTTGATCTAGTCCTACAAGCTATGGCCTTTCTTTTGTGTCTAGGGGCCGCAGTAGATTCTCCGTGTTGCAGTATCTGTAAAAAATGCATCGCCTGGCCCCCGCTTTGCCAAAAGACTGAGCCGCCCTGTGGACACCTCCGCCCAAGATGGAGAGAAAACGGAGAAAGAAATGAGAGCTTCCAGGCGCCGTTCAACTTGGGCACCATGCAGCTTCATGCCAAGCAGTTCCCATCAGACTTCTTAGTGTCTTGATTTTGGTTGTTTTTTTCTTTTGATGTGGTGAGGAGCAGCGTCGGCTCTGGGACAGCACTATACAGAGACAGTAGGATTTGTAGGGGGCTGGCAGCTGCGGTCATGACTTCTCCAAGGGCTCTGTGGCTTTTCAGCATCGTGGCCCTCCTGGGGTGGAGGTTGCCCCAAGTTGGGAGCAAGCGGGAAGGTGTGAGCATGTCCCCGGAGGTACTCCATTGCCCAAATTGCTCCCAGCTCACTCTTAAAGTGGAGTTTTCTACGAAAGTGGTGGAACATGGTAAGTAATGGGTTTCTCTGTATTTATGTGTCTGTTTTTGTTTGACTGTTTTGTGATTATAGAATCTGCCAGCCATTTGGTGACTTTGCTTCTCAGTTACACAGAATGTCTATCTGTGGAGTGTGCAGTTTTTTGGGGGGTGCAGGGGGCAGTGGGTTCCGGAGTAGAACGTGCGAATTATGTCAGATGAGGTGTGTATTAGAGGGACAGACAGGGTAACCCCAGCATATTTTTTCTCACATTTTACATGCATACAGAGGTCTTTGGGAAAGTCACAGGTGTTAGGAATGGAGGGAACAGGAATGGCTGGTTAGCTTATGGTGAAAGTTGTTTGCACTGATGAAGTACTGGGTCACTCCTCAAATAATTAACTTGACTGGGTACCTTTTTACAAGTGATTCTTCTCTTTACCTGATGGTTTCATGTGTTTGTAAAAGAGATGTAATCCATTTCAAAATGTAATGTTCGCAGTGACTGATTTTTTTCAGCCTTGTAAGCTGTTTGTTTTGAACTACTGGTTCAGATCTGCAACCAACCAAACAAGGCCGAAGATTTTCTTTCTTCAAATACTTATGCCGGTGAAGGCCAAACTAGGGGTCTGTGTCTGCAAGCCTAAATATTACCAGTGTTGTAGAGAGGGTCTGACTGCTGTCTCCCCATTCAGTAACCATTAAGGAATCTCTCTGCTACAACTCACTTTTCCTGTGTGTATGTTTGTTTTTGCCTCCCCCCCCCCGGGTTGGGTTCTATAGTATCAGTTTATATTGTGGGCTTTTCAGTTCCTTCAGTGACTGTTCAGTTGTATTAAGTGACAAATGTTTCACATGGTGCGGCTTTTGTCATCCTATCAGAGCGTGTGCCGTCTTCAGAGTACCTGCTTTGCCCTCCTAGATGTATAATTCTCAAAGAAGGAAAAAAATAATAGGATAGTATAGTTTTAATATAGTCTATTGTAGTCTTACAGTCTTGAATACTTTTAAGGTCACATTCCGTCCTGTGCCCTCCTTACAGGAGTGATTGTTCATTGGCTGCTGGCCCAGAGTGTTGAACAGCCATTCTTAAAGGAAAGTGCCCAAGTGGGTGACCATGGGTATCTGTTTGTGGTGTGTATGAAGGGGGGAAAAAAGTTTTTTTATATATATATATATAAAAAAGAAAATATAGTGGCCTGAATATTGGTCCTGTGAATGCATGTTTTGTCCACTGCCAATTGCCCCATTCACTTGAGCTTTCCTCACCACTGTGAAGGTCGTGTCTGTGTCTGGCCTGGGTGGGCTTTTATGGGGGGTGCTGTAGGGTCTCTAGTGGTTTAGAGTAAATACCTCTGTGGGCTGTTATTTAATCCCCCCACACTGTAACATAAGGTAGACGCTGTGGTCCCTTTTAAAATCAAAAGCTGAGTACTCTAGTTTTGACCGAGCGTGTATATCTTTAGTTGTGATTCTGGGTGAGAGTGTGCATGTGTGCACATGTGTGGGTGTATGTTTCTTGCCCCAGCTACCCCTTAAATTAATAGTGTTGATTTGCTCTCTGGACTAGATTTCACAACTTGTGGTTATCTGCAAGCGCTGCATGTGTTTGGGACATCAGTTTGGCTGAAAACAAACCATAGTTCTTGGGTTTATGTAATACACAACTCGCTTGCATATTTTTGGTGGGAATTAATGTTCATTTTCCCAGCATGATGTTTAGTTTTATGTTTGCGTATTTAAAACCCCATTTCGCAGAGCTCTTCTCTGTTCTGCCATACTGACAGTTTTTGCTTTTCCAGCCATTGTTAGTTGTTGGTTCAAGAGGCTATAGTTTAGTTCCTGGTTCCTTTTCCCTTGAGTGTTACCTGGAGCATATGCCTGTTTAGAACTGATTCAGGTGCAGATTGTTCTAACTTTATTTTCGCACCATCTGCCCCACCCTGGAACTTAGTCTTAAGTAGTTTTATTGACCCTACAGTATGAGGATAAACAGACCCTCTGGTGTATTGTGGTATAAATGGAATAGAATTTCCGAGGTGTAATTATGGTATCTCTTACAGTAAATCTGACAGGTAAATATAGTGTGAGCTGTAAGGTGTACAAATTTGACTGTTTTTTTGATCCAATGCCTTCCTGGTTATAAACGCCCGTCTGGCGTTTCATGTCTAACCTTCCTCGTTTGTGTACCTGTCTCCCCCCCCAGAGTACATAGTGGTATTTAATGGCTACTTCACGGCACGTGCGAGGAGCCGGTTCATCAGTAGAGCGCTGCACGACTTGGACGCGCTGGTCTGGAGGATCATGCCGCGGGACAATCCGGCGAGCGACTTCCCCAGCGACTTCGAGGTGGTGCAGATCCGGCAGGCTCTCCCACAGGGTCTTCTCACTCTCCAAGACCACCCCTACATCAAGAGGGTCACACCCCAGCGCATGGTCTTCCGCAGCCTCAAGTTTGTGCAAAGTGAGTGTTGGCCATCTCTGGGCCGAACCCACACCACCTTCAGGTGCTGGGAAATGGGGTTCGTTACCAGATGGTAGTAGGTTCTAGTCTAGTCTAGCTGCATGATCATTGACACTGCTTCAGCAACACCGTAATCATGCAGGTTTCTAACCCCCTTCAAATGGTCAAAAACCTAAAGGCTGATAATGGTGCCCCCCACCCTGATGCACAATGAACTGTCCTTCCTGCTCATGTCGTCATGGTAACCAGTCGCACAGGTTTTTCTCCCTTATGTTTATGATCTGCTCCATTTAGTCCATTTTACTTGGTAGTTAAAAAAAAAAAAAAAGGTGGAGGCACTGACATGAGAATCTTCTGGAATGTAAACACCCGCCAGCCGGTGTAGTTGTGCAATGCCGCTGTTCGGTACCTGGTTGCCTCCCTCCCCCCCCCCGGCCATCCAGAGGTCAGGATGCTTCTTCCTTATCCCCTTAGATTAGGGTGTGTTTCACATGTGCACGCACGCTGTAGTGCGAGCACACAGCACACCATTTGGCAGTAATATCAGCGCTGGTCGCTCTTCGTGCCGATTAGAGCCATCTTTTATTGCTAGGAATATGGGCCCGGTGCCCGAGCCGGCACGTCTCCGACCAGCCCCACCCATGACGGCACTGCAGATGGGGGGGGGTGAGTGGTGGCTGTCAGCTTGCTGTTTGTGGTTGCAGACCTGCTCTAGGGAGCGGGGGCTCACTGGAAGGGTCCTGTGTAATGTTCGGCTCCCCCAGGCTTGGGTTTTGTACCCCCGCCTTTCAACTCTCCGCTGCAGCTGTCACTTTTTGTGTTTGGTAACCAAGTATATGTTGTTTAGATCCTTTAATGAAGTTATTACAGTATTGAACATGGAAAGGATTACACACCTGATTTTGGTGGTTAACCTGCAGTGCATGTGGGAGTCTCAGAGCTTTGGTTAGGGTATCTCTTGTAGCCTTAGCATATTTCTTCTCAGAGCAGCTCTCCACCAAGCCTGCTAAAGCTACAGGCCCAGCAGGAATCACCTGAGCTCAGTGCCGACAGCCTCTTGGCGTCAAGGCAGCATAGCCTTTGTGAGCTGTCTGCTGTTTATCTTAAAACATCATTAAATTATCTTTAAACTTTTTATTATACGCTTTTGCTCTCAGAATCAGATTTAAAAGCTGTTTTCCCCTTAAACACAAAACCGCCCCAGATGCACAAGCCCCCTGTCATTGGATTCTTCAGCTTTTAATAAACGGGTCCAGTTCCTGATACTGCGGGTTTGGTGTGGTGTGTCATTTCACCTATTTCATGACATTCTTTACTTTGTTGGTGTTCCTGTTCGCTTTCTTTTGTGTGTTAAAAAGTAAGGAGACAGAAGACTGAAACCTGTTTGGCTTTAGTAGGTTATCTGTCATCTGTTTCGTGGTGTACTCCTATTCTTTTATTAAATCCATCCTTCAGCTGAAGCTCTCCTTCAGCAAGTCCTTATTCAATCACTTGCCTTTGCCCTATTTTCAGTTTCTCATGGCCAAAATGTTTTACGCATAGCTCAACAAGTAGAGCATTGTTCTGACAGCACATAGGTCATGTGTTCAAATTATAGGGGGAAGACATGTTCTGTAATTCCTCCCTCTATTGCAAGTCACTCTAAGTGTCAAATGAATAATTGTGTGGCCAATGTCTTTGTTTTTGCTTTGAGTGGTTTTGGAAAAGCATCATTGTCGTTCTGTATTGTGGTAGCGCCGGAGCCTGGCTCAGCAGCTCCCTGCAATGACACTCGCTGGACCCAGAAGTGGCAGTCGTCTCGGCCGCTGCGCCGGACCAGTCTGTCACTCGGCTCGGGCTTCTGGCACGCCACGGGCCGCCACAGCAGCCGACGCCTCCTGCGCGCCATCCCCCGACACGTGGCCCAGATCCTGCAGGCCGACGTACTCTGGCAGATGGGCCACACCGGTAAGGGCGGCTGAATGTGACGAGGGGCCAAGGCTTACAGCTTCCTGCTGCTTGCGTGACTGACGGTGCAGCGTGGCCACTATAGCTGCTTATGACCCCAGCTGTGGTCTAAGGAGGTTTTCTCTGTGCGAATCTGTATGTTATTGCACCTCACAAGCCAGTCTGCGTCTGTAACGGGAGCATGAATCGGTCGTTTCCTGTATGCCCTCATTTATTGGGCGTGATTGTGTGTTCAGGAAAGTACTGCTGGTGCAGGTCACAGTTGGCACAAGATGGGTGCTCGGCCTGTTCAGCCATTATGCAGCAGGAGTTTGTGCTTGAGGGTGTCTGAGAACTTTCTAGAACTCCTGGGAGTGACGGCATAATGAAAGAATAGCTGTTTTTCAGTGTATTAGAGTGCTTTAATGTGATGGCTTTTGAATGTAATGTAATGGGTTTTCAATTATGTGCCTCTGGGGGCTATTATGTGACACTTAGAATTTTCTGCACCTCTGTGTGCCGTGTGTACAGTAGCATATTCTTTACTCTCTTTTTAGGTGCCTTTTATACACACGGCGTATAAAGCGTGTCTTCGTGCGGATTAATCCCACGTGATTGTACCATGTGTCCAGGTTCTGGTGTGAAAGTGGCAGTCTTTGACACCGGGCTCAGCGAGAAACACCCACACTTCAAAAACGTGAAGGAGAGAACCAACTGGACCAACGAGAAGACGCTGGACGACGGTGAGATCTGGCTCCCTGTTCGGATTGCAGGCCGCCTCGGAAGAGGCTCTCGCACGGGGTTACCTGCCACACGTGCTCATGGCGATCGTGAGCCCCGAGGTCATGAAAGGAAGTAATCTGAATAGATACTGGTCTAAAAACAACATGCACATTGGCACCAGTAACACCGAAAAGACCTTGGACTTGGACTTCCTTTAAAAGCACTTATCAGCACCAGTGTAATGAATTTGATTGTGTTCCAGTTTGATCTTTAATATTGTCTTTAAGGTCTCTGAGGCCACTTTTCCACTGAACCAGGTTACCATACTTTTGTTTCGGTGCTTTTGATACTTTCTCTTTTCCATTGACTTCCGGTCAAGAACCAGTACAAAAGTTCCAGTACTTAAAGTGCCAAAACAGCAGGGACACTTTTTTTTTTTTTTGGTACTGGTCTTTTCTTTGTCAACTGGTTATGCAAATTGCCTGCCTCTGAAACACAATCCAACCAATGTCTTAAAAAAAAGCTACAAAGTCAAACAGCAATAAACAAAGTTTTAAAAACATAATAATAATGGATGTGTGGACAGATCAGACCCAAGCTTTAATTGGGGGCTGGTCGGAAGAACAGATACAAGATCAGGATGGCATTGCAAGAAATGAAGTACTTTGTGTAATATACTAGTACGACACGGCATTGGGAAATTTTCATATTTTGCAATAATGATTTATTGTAATAAATATTGGGAAATTTATAAAGCAAAAAAGGAGTTCCACATAAATTTCTCACAAACCCACCTAGGAATGATTTAAACAGCAGGCATGAAAATAATTATGATCGTTTTTGAGAAAGCATGCAGCGCTCATGCAAAAGCAGCGGAGGTGAGCTTTAATGAACATGTACTAGATAATCTTGAAAAGGCCTTAACATTTAAATTTCTTGCTAAGTTCCCTCCCCTCCTCCCCATAACAGTAAAACATGTTTTGATGAAGCTTAAACTCCCTGCGCTATAATTTGCATTCAGAATTGAAGGTAATCAAAAGCCTGATCTTACTCTAGCTGACTGGCAATGTAGGAATCGCATGTGCATAACATGTGGTGATTTTGGTATTAATATCGCACGTTGTGCAGTCCTATAATATACTGCGGCCATTTTTCGAATTGGGTGCAAAATATCCCGCCTTGCGTTGTGATGTCATTTGGTGACGATACCAGTTTTTACACCAGTGAGAGAACCAACACATTGATGTACCATACAGTACCAAAAGTACGGTACCTGATGCAGCGGAAAAGCACCCTGAGAATCACGTTTAAGGTGGTGATAAACATATTCAAAAGAGATCTTAAATTTAGCTTAAAATGAAATTAACTTTCTTCTGGAGAAGCTTGACTGTATACGTAGGTGAACAGTAATAGCATTGAAGTTGATGTGGTTGCTGAGAGCTTCCTGCTTCCTGTGTTTCTGGTCCAGGCCTTGGCCATGGTACGTTTGTGGCTGGGGTCATCGCCAGCATGAGAGAGTGTCAAGGGTTTGCCCCCGATTCAGAGCTTCACATCTTCAGAGTCTTTACCAACAACCAGGTAAAGCCCCCCAGCCCATGCATGTTCTCCTCAGCTTTGCATGTATCCATGCCCTCTGCAGTCTCGCTCAGATGTGCACACGTGCTCTAAGGACCTGTAGTCACTCAGCCTCTCTGCGCCTAGCCAATGCTTATTGCTCATTTCGCTCTCCTTAGGTCTCCTATACCTCCTGGTTCCTAGATGCGTTCAACTACGCCATCCTAAAGAAGATCGACGTGCTGAATCTCAGCATCGGTGGGCCAGATTTCATGGACCACCCCTTTGTCGATAAGGTGAATCCTCCTTGATGTTTGGACACCAGTGCCAGGTCTGGGTGGTCATGACCCCTCGTGCTGTTGGGTCTCAGTTTTCTTGTTCCCGGGTTAATTTAATATAAAATAACATCGCCCAAGCTCTGCAGGTTGATATTAACCCCCAACTGGAAAGTCCCCACATCCACAGAAGTGGGGTGTCATGTTTTCCTTAATAATGTGACCAACCTGAGTGCTGGGATATGACCACACACGGGCTCTGTGGTCCTCGTAGACCGTACTTTGGGTTTCTATAGCCTGATATCAGTGTCTCATACATAACCTTTAAATGTGTGCAGGTCTGGGAGCTGACGGCTAACAGGGTGATTATGGTTTCTGCTATTGGGAATGATGGACCACTTTATGGGTGAGTTTGGGGAAGGGAGGGTGACGTGTGTGCGTGTGCGCACGTGCATGTTTTTGTAATCATTACATTGTGGGAACCAGATTTCCACAGTTTAATAAAAATCTGTAACTGTTTTCGATCCCCACAAGAATAATCTCAATCTTCAAAAAATCTGTGAATGCAATGAAAAAACTAACAATGCTGAAAGACTTAGTTACTTAAGGTTAGAGATGGGTTGGAGATAAGGTTGTCATTGTTGGGATTAGGGTTATGCATATAGAAATGAATGGAGAGACCCCATAAAGATATGAATACATAGTATGTACACGTGTGCGTGTGCGCGTGTGCATGTGTGCGGCACATTTAAATCTTAATCCCTCCGGCCTCATGGCCAGACTGAAAGGCAGGACCCAGATCACGACAGTGCGATGGCACGACCTTGTCTCTTAGGACCCTCAACAACCCTGCTGACCAGATGGATGTGATTGGTGTCGGGGGCATTGATTTTGAGGACAACATCGCTCGCTTTTCATCCCGGGGCATGACCACATGGGTAGGTCGCACAGCAGCGTCCCACTGTCTGCTGGAGGCCCCAAAAACATGGAGTGAAACTACTGGGCACTTATGAAATGTGCTAGAACGGAGTTAATGACGTTAATGCATGTCGTCAGAGGGCTGTTTTATTGGGGATCTTCCTTTGTCCTGTTATCTTCGTGCTGCTTGTCATTGAATAGGCCTAATTTGTTTTTCGGTTTGACAGTAATCACCGCTGCATTATCTTCCATTAGCTCTGGCCTATTTAACTAGCACATCCCCAGAGATGAGTCAGACATACAGAATTCTATTCTATTCCCATAAGGTCTCATTAATAAGTTTTAAGAAATGGGGAGGGAGAAAAGTGTCAGGATTCTGTTCAGGTTCCTATTTTAGTAAAAAAAGAATTAGATTGTCTCGACATAATTGCCAGCATTTTTGTGAGATTGCGTCCCCCTCTGCCCTTACTAATTAAGTGGTGCGTTACAAACCGTACAGCTTGGCATCTCCGCTGGCACGACGTCCTTAGGGCTTCCAGTCTCCCTCCGCTCACCCGGCCTCTCCCACAGGAGCTGCCCGGCGGCTACGGCCGCGTGAAGCCGGACATCGTGACGTACGGCTCTGGCGTGCGTGGCTCGGGCATGAAGGAGGGCTGCCGCTCGCTGTCCGGCACCAGCGTGGCCTCGCCCGTGGTGGCTGGGGCAGTCACCCTGCTGGCCAGGTGAGGCATTGCGCTTTGTGATGATCCCTTGGGGCGGTCACCCTGCTGGCCAGGTGAGGCATTGCGCTTTGTGATGATCCCTTGGGGCGGTCACCCTGCTGGCCAGGTGAGGCATTGCGCTTTGTGATGATCCCTTGGGGCGGTCACCCTGCTGGCCAGGTGAGGCATTGCGCTTTGTGATGATCCCTTGGGGCGGTCACCCTGCTGGCCAGGTGAGGCATTGCGCTTTGTGATGATCCCTTGGGGCGGTCACCCTGCTGGCCAGGTGAGGCATGTAATTAAATTAAGCCCCTTCCCCCCCAAAATGCCAGTCTCTCGTATGCCCTTGAATGAACATTTAACTACCCACTGGACAAGCTGAATATAAGACTGCATATTTTTCCTGAAAGTTGCTTCTGCAGTTTCTTCCAGAGCAAATCGTCTTCATGGGTGTTCAGTTTCGCTGATTCTGTTTCAGATCGGATGTTGCACTAAAGCTGACTTTTTACAAAAATGAGTCAAGAAGTTGTCATGCACCCTGGCCACCTGTGTATCTGAAAACTGCATGGTTACATTTAAGAGCCGTTGCTTCATCTTTTCCTCTTCACATGTTTCCTTTATTTATCTTGGTGGCTTTCCATCAAAATGTTTGTATGAAGTTAACAGAATTCACCCATGAGGCTGACAGAAATGCCAGAGCTTACACACTTACAGCATGCTGGTGTCATAGCAGAACTACATAATGACCCCAAGGCATCTACAGCGTCTTCACTGGTTCGTCTAAGCAGAGCTGTGTTGTGTTCCTGATGAGGACTGGCCAGTGCTTTTCTGCTGAATTACCCAGAATCCATCAGTCCAGGGGAGTCTTCTTACTCTGAACATCTACCTTGGCCATCGTTCAGCATTATATTCACAGGAATACATTGACTGACCTAGAAATACCGCAGGAATTCGTCTAAAGTTCAGTAATGAAACAAAAGCATCATTGTTCAGAAATTTAAATGTGTGTAAATGACACTTAAGTGCAGAATCATTTACGTTCCCCTGCTGCTTCCAGATTCCACAGTTCGCAGGTGTATAATTTGCTTGTGAAGAGTGTTTTAGACCTTCAGCTTTTCATGGATCTCATTTATTTCTTTGTGCTGTAGTGGGTTTCCAGATTTGGCCTGTGTACTTCATTCTCTGGGAGTATCCCTCTGGAGGTGCTTGGTGTAGGAACTTAAATATGCTTGGATTCCCTCCCCCTTGCAGTACTGTCCCGAATCGGGAGCTGGTGAACCCAGCCAGCATGAAGCAGGCCCTCATCGCTTCAGCTCGCCGCCTTCCCGGGGTCAACATGTTTGAGCAGGGCCATGGCAAGCTGGACCTTCTCCGCGCCTATCAGATCCTCAACAGCTACCAGCCCCAGGCCAGGTAGGCTACTCTGCTGCTTCATTCCCATTCCTTTACATCTGAGTCTCCACGGTGCTCCTCTTCAGTATGACAAATGGCCCCCATTTCCTGTTTCAGCCTGAGTCCCAGTTATATCGACTTGACGGAGTGTCCGTACATGTGGCCCTACTGCTCCCAGCCCATCTACTATGGGGGCATGCCTACCATTGTTAACGTCACCATCCTGAATGGGATGGGGGTCACAGGCCGAATTGTTGACAAGGTGAGTAGAATGTGCTCTGCTCCCTAAATATTTAATTTGGTCTTGCCTAAAAGTTTTTGGCTTTGAGCTCAAAGCAGCAGTAGAATTGGGCAGCGTTTCTCAAAGCTGCATTTGAATTTCCCTCTTGATGGTCTCTCCTGCTTCCTCAGCCTGTCTGGCAGCCTTACCTGCCTCAGAATGGGGACCATATCGACGTGGCGGTCTCCTACTCCCCCGTGCTCTGGCCCTGGGCTGGGTACCTCGCCGTCTCCATCTCGGTGGCGAAGAAAGCGGCGTCATGGGAAGGCATCGCTCACGGCCACGTGATGGTGACTGTGGCCTCGCCGGCGGAAAACACTGTGAGTCCTGGCGCCTTTCTGGCGCCACCTGCTGGCAAATGAAGGAAAAGGATGCAACTGAATCCAGATGAGAAATGTGTTGTCAGCGAGAGCAGTTTTTGTGCCTCAGATGAAGTATAAATCTCCATTTTCACATAGACCTAATGCTTATTTTGGAATTGTGTGTAGTAAGGCTGCAGTTTGCCTTAATTATCTGTGTTATTGTAGCATATTGCTTACTGGCTAGGCAGGTGACTTAAGTGTTTCCCCTTCTGTTAGAGGCTGGTAATGTTGGATTTTTATGGCCTCACTTACTCATGTGGCTTATGAGAGACTCATTTTAAATGGTGTGACTGTCAGGTTTTATATCATGGGGCTGCTTAAGTCTGCAGGCAGTTTCTCTGTAGTGTTCAGCTGGCATAGGAAGCCGACAGCTCTGGAAGGCATCGAAAATCATGGTCTCTTTCTCCGAGGGGGGGTCATGAGTGCTACCTATGACCATTGTGGTTTGTGTGTTTTGCCAGTCAAACGCTGGTGGGGAGCTGACATCCACCGTGAAGCTGCCCGTGAAGGTGAAGATCATACCCACTCCTCCACGCAGCAAGAGGGTTCTGTGGGACCAATACCACAACCTGCGCTACCCCCCCGGGTACTTCCCGCGAGACAACCTCCGCATGAAGAACGACCCGCTGGACTGGTGAGCTATATCTATTATCCGGGGGGGGGGGGTGGCTTATAGTTACGCACTGCATAGTACATGGGTACACGCACCGAAATATAAATGCACAATGCCACATACAAGTGTGTGTAAAAATAAATAAGTAAATGTATGAACATGGCAATAGATTAAGCTGGTGAGCATGAAAATAGGTACAGTTCTGTGGTAACAACATACAGATTTGCAGGTAATTATTGTATAAAGATAAATAGGCTGTTTTTTCCAATAGAAATAGGCCAATTTTGCACATGTTCTCTGGGTGATTTACTGGTTGTACAGGAAGGAAACTGTGTAGCACAGGACCATGGAGGTCAGTCCTGGGTTTATACGTCCTATGTGACCTAAGTTTTTAATGTAATTTAAATCTGGGAAGATCTGCATGATTTAGTTACCAGCAGGGGGCATCTGTTGACTGTACAGTAAAAACTCACTGACAGATGTTATTTATTCTAATGCTCAGTTTTGTGGTGTTTGGGTCTTTCTGTAGGAATGGAGACCACATCCATACAAACTTCAGGGACATGTATCAGCACCTGAGGAGTAATGGGTATTTTGTGGAGGTGCTGGGGGCACCGCTCACCTGCTTTGATGCCAGTCAGTATGGTAAGAGGTCACATGACTTTGGCCGTTATCCATTGCATCTGTGTAAGCAGTTTATAACCGTGCCATTGATGGTCCGTGCCATTGATGGTCCGTGCCATTGATGGTCCGTGCCATTGATGGTCCGTGCCATTGATGGTCCGTGCCATTGATGGTCCGTGCCATTGATGGTCCGTGCCATTGATGGTCTTGATTTGGTTTGATGCAGGTGTACGAATGTCCTCAATGAGTATGAGGACTATGAAGTCAAAGTTGTAATTGTGCAACATAATCAAATGAATGTTTTGAGATGGAAAATATAATGAATATGTGGGAGGAAGTTCCAAATGTCACCTTTGTAAAATTTCCATATTTTGGGACATGCGTGCTTCACCATTGTTGAAATAGCCCTTATGTTCAGTTACCTGTTATGAACATCCGTCCCACTGAAGGTGCTGAACTCCTGGCGTTGTACGTGTCTTTATCGGAGACGTTTGTTGACAGGAACCCTGCTGTTGGTGGACAGTGAGGAGGAGTATTTCCCTGAGGAGGTCAACAAGCTTCGGCGCGATATCGACAACGGGCTGTCGCTCATCATCTTCAGTGACTGGTATAACACCTCTGTCATGAGGAAGGTGAAGTTCTACGATGAGAACACCAGGTAGGGTCTCCGCAGCTTCCTTGGGGCTCCGCAGGATCAGAAGAAGGGTTCCGATCTGACGATTGCTCCCTGGCGTATGTCTGATCCGCAGGCAGTGGTGGATGCCGGACACAGGGGGCGCTAACGTGCCAGCCCTCAATGACCTGATATCCATTTGGGGGATGGCCTTCAGCGATGGGCTCTACGAGGGCGACTTCGCCATGGCCGACCATGAGAGTAAGTTATCACTGAACGGTGACAGAGGTTTTTAAACTGTTAAACTGGTTTTTAAAAAGTCGAGCCAGAGGGTTATTTAGATTTAATCGAAAAGTAATCTTAAACATCATTGTTTTGACTCTTTGTAACAATGAAGCTTTTACCTTTCTAGTTGTTCAGTCTGTTCTTGCCATACACATAGCTGGCATGGTGTTCAAAATCAGTTCAATGTAACACAGCATCATTGTGACCCATGAACTCTGCCAAACTTCAGTATTTTTCTAATTCTGTTAACTGTGTTCATTCCCACATGTGGCTCAGGCGTCCTCTGGCCTAGTGTTGTATTGTAACGTCTAAATGAATCATGTTGAATATTTGAGTCGTGTTCCTCAGATGTTTCTGATAACTGGCCTTTCACGATTATTGCATAATCACCTGATTGCGATTATTTGAGCTGACTGTGATTATTTTGCATAATTACTAGGTTTTCTCCATTCATCTGTATAAAAATAGCTGGATGAAACGTCATATTTCTATCACTGTTTTCGTATTGCTTTCTACTGTGTAATGTCATTAAACGAGTGCTAGTCAAACATCGTCGTGCTAATGAACCGATCCATACAACCTGCCCTATTTGCACCTCATACATCTGCATTACACTTTACGGCATATTTCACAGCGGTGCCTGATTTGTACCACTTTGTTTCACAACCCAGTCTGATCCTGTTAATATTTCTCTTTCATCAGTTCAGGTTCATTTTGCAGATAGCTCGTGAACAATCTGTATTAGCCAAGAGTTGGACATTCAGCCAGATAGTCTGATTTTGGATTCTTTGTGTTCTTGTCTGTTTGAAGTTTTGCAGAGCACCTACACGTGTCTGAGGGCTTTTATGGGTCTCATTAGGTACTTCAGTCACAGTGGGTTGACTATATGTCCCTGACTGCTGCAACTATCATGCTGCAGCAAAGTCAGTAGAGTATGTCAGTAAGACAAACAACTAGAGAAACGTGTGTTATTTTGTCCATTTTTTTCTGATCCCACTTCCGAGTGATATAAATATGGCTGAAACAAACACAAAGCCAAAATTCACATTTCAGTTCTGAGTGAACCAAAGCTATAAACACCTGAAAATACCATGTCACTGGATAGCAGCAATTTCACATATGGAAATGTAAACCAACATTTCAGATATGGGATATAACCGTGTTAATCCAACATCTGAAAAAAGACCAGATACACTAAGAATGACAAGTAAAGAAAACCTAAGTCGGCAGAATCATTAGCGCCAGCGTCCTGTATCACGATTCACAAAGCCAGATTTCTTGCTTAGCTGGATAACTTGTCGGATTACAAGTTAGCCTGCTTAGTTTGCTGTAAATGAAGACAAAATGCAATGTGGTGTACGCATGCTTGTCTTATCTGCCCTCTACAGTTTTTGTTTACAAAGATTAAAAGGCAAACAGAAATGCCATTTTTAGTTGTATGTTTGAGTCCAATGCTAATTAATAGCTCTTCCTCATGAGGTGTATGTGTATTAAACCATGATTAGGCTAACTCTATAATGGTGTTATAAAATGAACAGAAAAGACAAATTATTAGTCACAATTATTTGTACGACAGTTAATCGTCCAGTAAATGGTGACCTAGACACTGTCCTTCTCCTCCTCCACTTCAGTGTACTACGCCTCTGGGTGCAGCATTGCTCGCTTTCCGGAAGACGGAATCGTCATTGCCAAGACCCTGAAGGACCAAGGTGGTCATTCTAGCTTCCTGGTTTTATAGCTGCAGACCAGTGTTTCCCACCCGGTCCTCGGGGACCCCCGAGCAGTCCAGTAGGGATCTGGGAGGGAGCAAAAACATGCACCGTCTGGGTGTCGCTGAGGACCGGGTTGGGAAACACTGCTTATAGACACTTCAGCTCAACAGCCACTTCTGGCTTGTGCTGCCATGGCAACCTGACCCCCCTCTCTCATTTTCACAGGACTGGAGGTTTTGAAGCAGGAAACTGCGGTAGTTGACAATGTTCCCATATTGGGTCTATACCAAACCCCCTCTGAAGGGGGCGGCCGGATAGGGCTGTATGGTGATTCCAACTGCATCGATGACAGTCATAGGCAGAAAGGTAGAGAATACTTCATTTTAATTTTGAGCTTAAATTCATAACCTGAAATCCATAAAAATCATGTACTATTGTACTATGTAAGAAAAGGTATTAAAAATACACTGATGGTTTGAGTGTGAACATCTAACCTGGGTTCTCATTCCACCACTTACTCCCCCCAGACTGCTTTTGGCTCCTGGATGCTCTCCTGCAGTTCACTTCCTACAGCATGACCCCTGCCAGTCTCACCCACTCAAAGAGCCGGGTGGCCCCCCCCTCGTCAGTGTCTGAACACCCGCTGCCTGAGAGGTTGGAGGGTATGTCAGTGCTCCCCCTACAGGCAATTTAACAGCATTGTCTGTTTGCAGAGGCGCTGGGGTGGTCATTGCATATTTATTAGAAGTGTTACAGCTCCTTCCCTTATTGTATTTGAACCATTGTGTCGCTCTTACAGGTAACCACCTGTATCGGTATTCGAAGGTGCTGGAGGCTCATCTGAGAGACCCCAAGCCTCGCCCGCTGCCAGCCTGTCCCCACCTGTCCTGGGCCAAACCGCAGCCGTTGAACGAGTCCGCACCCAGGTGACTGTGTGGGCTGTGTGAGATCGCATCACTTCTGCTGTAAATGGTCTTCTAGGGCTGCATGTGAGGTGGGGATGATTGACTTCAGCTCTCGTCCTCCTTGTCCTCCTCTTCTAAGCAGTAACCTGTGGAAGCATCAGAAACTGCTCTCTGTGGACATGGATAAAGTGGTGCTGCCCAACATCCGGCCCTATCGACCTCAGGTCCGACCCCTCTCCCCCGGAGAGAGCGGGGCCTGGGACATTCCTGGAGGTGATTACTGAGCCCCGTCTCTCGCCCATGCCAGCACTGCCCTTGGCATTTTGTTAGAGCAGTTGAACGTCTGAATGAATGCTGGTCCCCGTCACGCTGTGTCTATCGTACAGGTATCATGCCAGGCCGCTACAACCAGGACGTAGGACAGACCATCCCGGTGTTCGCCTTCTTGGGTGCCATGGTGGTGCTGGCCTTCTTCGTGGTCCAGCTGACCAAAGCCAAGAGCAAGCCGAAGAGGAGGAAGCCTCGGGTGAAGCGGCCCCTCTTCCTGCAGCAGCTTCAGCAGCAGCCGCACACAGGCAGGACTCCCAGCGTGTGAACTGGACTCCACCCAGATGCCTGGGAAAGCCGCCACAAGGGGGCGACAACGCGTATGAGGAGGTCACAGGAGTTCATTGAGAGATGGATGACCGTTATCAAAGGAGCGTGACCCGTATGGAAGAAACTTTCATTCCACTGACCAAATTGGAGAGTTGGCTTGAATCCTGATTCTTCTCTTTTTGTATTTATTTTTATTACTAAATGTTTACTAGACCTCCTTCTCCAGGACTCTTTCTAAATGGGAAGAGCTTGACCATTCAAGCCGGACTGAACGCTCTGCTTTTGGAGATGCACATTTTGGGAAATATTTTCACTTCTTTTGGTTTTCTTTTTGTATGTCAGTTATTTAATCCGTTCATCTGTTTTTATGGAAATGGCCTTTGCCATGACACTGTACATATGCATCATTGTCTCCATCACTACTGGAGGTAGAGGGCTAGTTGCCCTTCTCTCCGCCTTTCCAAATATACTCAAATATGAAGCTGAAATTGAGTCTGGGTTTTATCTACGGTCCTGGTTACATGCATGCAACACTCTTGTCTATACAAGTACCATATTCTCCAAGTGTATTAAATTTTACATTGTCATTTACATTTTCCAAAGGGACTTGTAGGTTATATGCCTTAACCCATGTCACAACCATCACAAGCCAGACGTGAGGCATGATAATATGGAATATTAATGTATTCCTATAACAACTCAATGGCTAATTTGTGCAAAAAATGTTCCCAATATGGTTCAGCTGGTATCCTCCTTTTTACCATTATATGGTTGGATATCTGTGTAGTACAGTAAGGTTTTTTTTCCAGAGACTTAAGCCAGTAACTTCACATTACAAGGCCACTTCTTTAGTCCTGGTGGTGGCTATTTCTAGCATCATTGATGGTCAGTCACTGGTCCCTTAGGTCTTCCTCTACCTGCTTGATCCATGTTTTCTTTGGTGCTGTTTGTTGAACCCTCCATTGGACAGGTGGCTCTCGCCAGTCGATTGGTATTCATTCTGCAGACATGGCCAAACCGTGGCAGCCTGCGTTTTTGGATTTGTTCTTTGATTTAAAGGTTGATCGCACCTGATCCGAATAGTTTTATGATGCCAATCGCTAAGAGAGACAGCCAGGATCTGCCTTGGGTATTGCATTTGGAAGACCTCGAGCTTGTTCATGTCTGATCCATGTTTCTGATCCATACAGGAGAATTGGCAGGACCAGTGTTTAGAAGTGGTGAATTTTAGTCTTGGTGGAGATAATGGCTTTCTTACAGAGGCACCATTTCAGTGAAGCCGCTGCTGCGGCCAGGGCGATCCTACAGTGGACTTCAGTGGTGAATGCTACTTTTCTTCTGCTGCACCAGTGATCCCAGGTATTTGAACTTTTGGACCTTCTCAGTTTGGACTCTGCTGCGATGACCGTTGGCTTGTTCCATCCGTGGTTATAACACTTGGTTTTGTGCTCTTTGAGGGTCAGTGTGTGGCTCAGTGGGCTAATCCTCTGTGTCTGTGATCAGATGGTTGCTGGTTCAGGCCCAGCCTTGGCACATCTGTGGGTCCTTCAGCAAGGCCTTTAACCCCCAGCTCCCTGGGCACTGCAACAAGTGGCTGCTCTTTGTAGCCAGCTTGCCCTCACCAACAGAGAGCAAGTTGGGGGAGTTGTGAAGTGAATTTTCCCATGGTGATCAATAAAAGTATCAGTTCTTTTCGATAATTCTTCTAAGTCTAAGTGATGAAGGACGTTGGTGGCCTCTGCCTCCATGTTGGCAAATATTGCACAATATTGTCATCTGCAAACATCAAGTTGCCCTGGAGGCTGTTTACATCATACTGAACTCCCTGTCTGTCCTTTAATGCTTTCATTATGGCAGAGGAGAGGTAACATGTCCTTGGCGGACCCCAGTTTGAATAGAAAATTCCTTGGATAGTTTGTTTTGTATCTGCACACTGCTGGTTGAGCCATTGTATGATGCTTGGAAAAGTTGGATAGTTTTCAAAGGTATGTGCTCATTTTCCAACGCTATCCACAGGGTCGGCCAGCGAACACAATCGAATGCAGATTTGAAGTCAATGAAAACAATAATGGCACGTTTTCCACCCCAGATCATTTCCTCTCTTAGGTGGTAAATATTTGATCGATGAGGCCTAATTTCTGGAGATTCAGTGGTAAAATCAAAGCGACCAATGAACATCAAGAAGGTAGATGGCACCTTTCTGAGCTCCCCTGGTGAATCTTTCCCCGATGATGAGCTAATAGTTGAAGTGAAAAGTGCAATAAGATCATTGAAGAATGGAAAGGCAACCAGTGTTGATCAAGTCACTGCTGAAATGATGAAAGCTGGAGGAGATGTCCTGCAACGCCAGCTCCACATTCTCCTGACACACATCTGCCGCTTGTAATGCCTTTCATCAACAAGAGCCATCATCATGCCAATCCTGAAGACCAGTGATAGCTGGGAATGCAATAACTACTGAAGCAACAGCCTTTCAATCAATGGCGATTTTGGCGTTATAAGGCCACAACAGTATCCATTATACTGCCTGCAATACGACCTAAAATTATTCTGTGTGTGTGTGTGTGTGTGTGTTTTTTGGTAAGTTTTGGGAGGAGTAGCATGTCCTGTCCCTTTATGTAAATGAAAAAATTATACATTCCATGTAAATAACACATTATCATTTTCAAATGGGAGACATGGCAGAAAGTACCAACAGCATTTATTTTGCAAAAAGCCTGAAGATCTTGATACTAACTTTTATGTGCTACACTAAAGTTACCATTTCTGCTGTACCAAAAGAACACTTTTGTTGTTGCAGTGAGCCATATTGTATCAGGGAACAGAGAAACACACAAGTGAGAGCTTCAAGGCACACAGCTACTGAAACATACATCCCAGCTCTGCTGGACCCAGCAGTCTCCTGCATGTTGATAACAGCTCATTCACACCCGCAAATTATACACAGTATCCCAGATGTTTTTTTTCCCCCATAAATATATATAAATAGTGAGAGCATGTGGGAGAGTAAACACCCTAGAGCTTATCTATAATCTTTGGAGAAGGAGCGCGGATGTCAGGGAGACGCTACAAACATGCGGGAGGCTTCCGGAACTTCCAGGAGAGCTGGGATGCCTATACAGTGAAATATCTAAATGTGTTATCCAGAGTAACTTATGAGAATAAGGAGAGGAAGGTAACTGCATCAGTGCCATCATGACACGGCGGCAAAGCTTGCATAATACTGAATGTCGGATGATTTAAAACCATACCAGTTCCAAATAAGAGACGCCCCCAATTTTGAAATGAGTCTCCCATCCTCTAGACAACGAGGATGGTTCCGACATTCCACTCATCTTTTTTTATTCGTCTTTCCCAACCTATCTTAAGCAAGATATAGGCTAATAAAGTTAAGTGGCTAGTTTTTTTATGGCGTCGCCACACATCCATGTGACACATATACAGCCATGGAAAAAATAAAGAGGACACTGTATTTCTAAAGAAATCTGCATTTTTAAACCCTGGTTTAATCCAGGTTCTGCTGGCAGAAGGTTACACTGCACGGCAGGCTGCTTCCAGGCTCAGAGTTTCTAAGACAGCAGTTCAAAGGAATAAGGTGAAGCAGGAGACACCGGAAACGACCAGAAACCAGCCGGGTCATGCCAGAGATGACGGATAAGTTAACAGACGGTTTTTCATGAATCCTAGGATGACATCCGGTGCAGACCTGAGTGCAGGTGTGAGGTGAACTGCTAGGACAGGTTATATCAGGCTCCTAGAAGCAAAAGTCCCAAAAAGCAAGGAAGAAACCCTTCATCTATGAGAAGCAGAGAAGAACCAAGTCACAGTTTAAAAAAAAAAAAAACACAGACGGTCACCCATAAAATGAGTGATGAGTGTTTTTTTTTTTTTTTTTTTAATGTAAATTGTGATTGCAGGAGGGTCTGATTATCCACATTTATCCAAGTCAGAAATCAGTTTATCCACATTTCCACAATTTGATGCTATACAGGTGACACGTCCTGTTGCTTCTTTCTCTGTCTGTTTGTTGTGTGTATGTTTGTGTGTGTGTGTATGTTTGTGTGTGTGTGTGTGCGTGCCGCTCTCCCTTGCACTCTGACCGGTGCTGCAGGTATTTTGAAGAACTCCTTGGTATCTTATCACGATCAACCTTAATTATGCTGGAAGAGGTGATCTACGACTGCAGTAAAGGTAAACAAATCCTCGAGCTTTATGGTGCTATTCCTCATGTGACTGACTCTAGAAATGGCAACACAATGATAAAAGCAATAAGGATTCAACACCTAATTATACGCTATTCAAAAACATTAAGGGAACGCTTAATCATCATAGTTCAACACCAAGGTCAAATTAACTTCTGAGATACACTTCCATACTAGACAGATGGATAAGCGACTGAATCAGTTTCTCCTGCATTGGTGCACATGAAAGCAACAGCAAGACAACCACCAGAAAGGGAGTGGATTTGCAGCTGGTGACCACAGACCATTTCTCTCTCCTTATCCTTCCTGACTGATTTTTCTATAGTTTTGCATTTTGCTAGTGCCCTTGCCTTGAGGCGGTACCTGCAGCCCATTTTGGTCGCACAGGTAGTCTAGAACCTCCGGGATACCACATCCATATGTGTCGTCGCAAGAAGGTTTGCTGTGTCTCCCAGCACAGTTTCAAGAGCGTGGAAGAGATACCAGGAGACAGGCCTTTATATGAGGAGAGCTGGGCAGGGCCATAGAAGGGCATCCCAGCAGGAGAACCGGTATCTGCTCCTTTGTGAGACGAGGAACAGGAGGAGCACTGCCAGAGCCCTACGAAATGACCTCCAGCGGGCCTCTCGTGTGCATGTTTCTGACCAAACTGTCAGAAACAGACTCCATGGGGGTGGCATGAGGGCCTGACGCCCTCTAGTGGCACCTGTGCTCACAGCCCAGTACCGTGCAGCTCGATTGGCACTCGTCAGAGAACACCACAATTGGCAGGTTCACTACTGGTGCCCCGTCCTCTTCACAGATAAGAGCAGGTTCACACTGAGCACATGTGACAGAGTCTGGAGACGCCGTGGTGAATGTTATGCTGCCTGCAATATCAACCAGCGTGACTAGTTTGGCGGCAGTGATGGTCTGGGGAGGCATATCCTTTGAAGGTCACGTAGACCTCCATGTACTAGCCAACAGGACCCTGACTGCTGTTAGGCATTCAGGCCGTTCCTGAATGTCGAAGGCAGTGAAGCCGTTGGTTGCCCCCCCACGTTCCTCAAACCTGAATCTAGTCAAGAATCTCTGGGCCAGTGCATGCAATGCTGCCAAGCAGTGCCACAGACTGTCCAGGAGCTCACTGATACCCTGATCCAGATCCGGGAGGAGATCCCCCAGGACGGCATCCGCCGTCTCATCTGGAGCATGCTCAAGCGTTGTTGGGGGTGCATACAGGCATGTGGGGGTCACACATACTACTGAGCCGCATTATGAGTTGTCATGATATAATTCGTGCCATTTGGATCAGTCTGTGATTTCAGTTTCTTCCTTTGATTTTCGGTGTGATTTTGAATACAGAAGATGTGCTAGATTATCTAATGGCAATTTGAAACCTCAGTGTCATTTACAATTTTTTTTATAGTAAAATCTTGCATCATTCAGTGCTGGCTGGTACCTGCACACTTCAGACCTCCCAGTATACCGTAACAAAATCTGACCACAACACTGATCTTTTTTGCATCTTATGTCTGCACTGTAAAAACAAAAAAGACTTTCCATACCTCCAGTGTTTTCAAGTTACAGATGCAAGTGATGAAATGCAGGGCGGGGTTAGCAACTCCAGGCATTTATTCATCTGTGGGCTCCGACCTAAAAATCCTCTGACACTTCAACGCTGGAAGTTGTCTGCAAGGAATGTATGACGTTTATGTCACTTGAAAAGAAAAATGAAAAGAAAAGCACACTTAACTGTAAAGTCATTAAAAACCTACCCACCTGTTCGTTAATAAACAGCCAATCCTAGCCTGGGGCCCCACAAACATAGGCCCCGCCCCACCCCGGGAAAAATGGAACGGTTCATTAAATCGGTAATGCTTGGGTGTCCATGCTGGTCTACAGCTTTCAGATTACTTAATCTATCCCTGTCCAGATGCAACGATAAAAACTCGGCAATCAAGTTATACAGGTTGACAGCTCCCAGACTGGCGTCCATCAGTGTCTGGTAGAACAGAAAAAAGTATTTTTACTTGGTAATTCTACTGAAGAGCAATTACTATGTAGTGTATGTAATTACAGGTTATACAATGAAGAAAAAAAACATAGCTAACTTTGCTGGTTTATACACATGCAGCTGTTTTTTGTTCAGAATCGCTGTGCAGCGCCACCCTCAGGTGGAGTTATGTCGGTGTTGGGTGATGTCAAGCGATACATTATGAAAAGTTTAATGTTAACAATGTAACAAACACGATGATAATTGATCAATAGTGTATGTAGTAGTGAGTGATATTTTATTATTTTCTGTGCACTGAAATCCAACAGTTCAACTGAAAGGCGTAGTTTACGTTTGTTAATAAGTCTCGGGAATGTGCGAACAGATACTAAACAGGCAACTACAATTTTAATTAAGAACTCATGCTCAAGGCAGGTCTAACTGATGTTAAAGTTAACAAAGATCTTAGCTTCACTTCCACCCATACGGCGATGATCCCATACAGTCACCTACTTTCACGAAAATCATTGGGTCATCACATGCCAGCGCAGAGCTGCCTATATGAAATATGACGGAATTGAGAGTCAGAAGTGAATTTCAACCATGATATTAATGGGTGCGACACTGGGAAAGGCCGGCTTTACAGAGCTGGGAAAGGCCAGCTTTACAGAGCACACTAATTCCTTTCCATACCTGTTAGCCGTCACCGAAAACAAGTAAAAACATGTAAAACACACTGTAAAAATTTTATTTACACATTTTTGCTTTAACCAGTTTTTTTCTTAAATAAAAATACTTTTATTGATGTGATTCCAGTTTAAAGTAGCACGTATAGTGATGCTATAAAATGTCCAAATGTATGACTGTCATTTACATAGGCCTATTGAAACATTATAATTGCTATATAATAACTTTTTGTAGCTTTGTTGTTCATTTCATTAACTTGCCCCAGTGGGAACAGTGTCTGAGGTAAACCTTATCGAGTTCAAATGCCAATCAAACGACTATTTTCTTAGGTAGCTTAAAAAGTACTGAATCGTGTTACTGCAAGGTGCAGGCAGGAAAAAGGGGGTAACGATCCACCTGCAGCTCTTAGACAAACAAGGGTTTATTGAATTAAAGAGTACACACTGGGGAAAACACAAAGAAAAGGGACCACAAGGGATCAAACTAACATAGAACAATAAGAACCAACTAAAGAAACCGTAAAATAATGATACCAGGAAACAGAATGCATGCAGCCGTGCATGCAGACACCCAGAGTAACATCTCACAATGACTGACTGGGGAAATGAACAAAGGCAGGCACTTAAACACACTGGTAACAAGGACTAACTAAGGGCAGGTGTGAATCATCAAAAACACCAACCAATCAGCAAGGCAGAGGACAACAAGCAACAGGTGAAATAAATTACCAATATATGGCACAAGAAACTAGGGAACATAACAGAGGGCTGACTGTACTAGGACAAAACTAGGAACGACCACAAGCAGAACACAGGGAACAAACAGACACAAACAGGGAAGGCCAGAATCAGGAACACAAAGCAAAGAAAATACCAAACGCTAAGGAAAATAAAACCAATAAGTTAACCAAGGGGTAAGACTGGCCTCTGGTTAGTCTCAATCTCATGACCAGCGGGGAAAAAAGTTTAGTTATCCACCCAACCCACTGAGCTATGCAGTACTCCAAGGGAAGAGGGAATCACAGTAGGGACTTGAAAGACAAGAGACAAGGTGGTGAACAGGATGGCCAGTGACACCTGCTGGCCAAACGGGGTGCAGACACAAAGGGCAGGATTTGTTTTACTTGGCCATTATTGAGTCTTTCATCACATCTTCTATTATAGTATGGCAGTTTGGATAGTCAAACAGGTCACTGTCCATGGACTAAGACAAAACGCTTCTAATTATAATTCTTATAATTTGTGATTAAAAACATAGACTAAGATTAAACGCTTCACAAACAGCTTTTCCCCATCGCTATTAGGAATCCAAACTCCTCTCTTGAGTCTCCTCCTCACACGCTACTAGCATGTGTACTACTCAGTACTCAGGTTGTTGTGTGTAATATTGTATTGTATAGTATTGTATTGTATCATTGTATTGTTATAAATGAGTATTGCTGATAATATGTGTAGTGTCTGTTGTGGTCCATGTATGTATCGTACTGCACGGTTTAACGTATCGCATCAAAAACAGGTTCAACCAACCTAGGTTGTGTGGCAAATAGGTAAGTAAACAAACAAACAAACAAAAATAATGTATGCATGGTATAAATGCATATTTAAAAGACCTGAAACTGCTCGAATTTGCACAAATAGCCCTATTTATCACATATCTTGGGTTCACTCTGTTGTGCATCTAGTGTCTAGTGTTAATTCTCTGTTCTTGTTACGCCCTAATTGTTAGTTGTCTTCTGTCACGGTTTCTCCAGCAGTAGTTAGTTGTGCCAACAAAAATTTCCACCAGCTCTGGTCATGTGGGTATAAAGGTTCTGATTCTGAAACAGAGCGACTTGTTCCTGCCACTGTGACTCAGCTGTGCCTCTCTAGTCCTTAGCTCTTCGTGAATCTTGATTCATGCCCCCTAATTTGCCACAGAATGAGGTGATTTTTCCGTGAACAGGTCAATTACACTTGGTTGCAGCAGAAAAATTGATATTATGTACTTTATAAAAAATTTTCTGTGCTATTTGAACAGATTTGAAAACGTTCCTCACCGGATACTGTTACACAATAAATAAATAATAAATACAGCTACACAATAGTCTTAATCCTACGATCATTCAGGATTGTATTGAAATATTTGCATTTAGAATGAAAGGGTTTGCCAACATTGTTGAAACATACGTTGGATCGGAACTAAAGTACCTGCTTTCAATTTGATTTTGGGATTTAGAATTTTTTTCTGATGCACAATACATATATTCTTTGGGGCTTAAAACACTCCCAAAAATGGAATGAATGCAACTCAATTCTTACATATACGATAAGTGTTAAGATATGTAGAAGTTTGTCAACGCTGAAGGGAAAATGCAAGTGATAAGGGTTTTTGAAAGCAATAGTATTACTCTTTCTCTCTACAGAAGGGTATTAACTGACAGGGGATTAGAGAATGACAGACAAGACTGTAATTGCAGGTGTGAGAATGTAAAAATATCTAGTTTTGCCGTGCTTTTCCAGGTCACTGATTCTAGCTGTATAATGAATGAAAAATATAAAATGTGCTTGATCTTAAAGCTTCACTGAATGCCTGAGATGGTAAATTGTTAAAAAAAAAAACATAATTAATACCATGAAATAAAGTCTGCATATATATTCTTACCATTTAAAACATGTCTTAGTTTAGAAGAAAAATAAAGGTAGAGGGACAGCATATATTAAATGTTTAGTTTGGTACAACCAGTGGGCATGTATCTCCCAATATTTAATTCGGATTTAGTCACTTCCCCCCAACCTTTAGAACTTTATATTGAAATTATTAAACTGTGTGCCTCCCCCCCCCCAAAAAAAACCAAACAAACTGTATCATACGCTGTTGAGTACAGACCCATATAAGGCATGTGTGCCACAAAAAGAAAGCCCAATTTCCTCTCTGAGGATATACTTTGCTGAATCACAGTTACCCAACAGTTTTTAATTAAGCTCCGCCCCCCGCCACCCCCACCTGTAGTAGTCTTTCTGTGACAGGGCTGAGTGCTGCTCAGACGGGTGAAGCACCTCAGCTTTCACATCGCTGACAGTTCTGTGAGCTACCTGGCAAGCATGTGTGACCAGCATCAGGTACGGGCTGCTTTCCAGAGGGAAATTCTTTGCGTATCTGGTGCTGCTAGTTCCTCCACAATGTCTTTTTCGCCGCCGATAGTTATGTGAGACACATGACGGTCTGGCTAGTGCTGAAGGAGGAACGAGTCAGCTTAGGAAATGGCAAGAAACGGCAGCCGACTGCGAAGCAGCAACAGCCGACTGCGAAGCAGCAACAGCCGACTGCGAAGCAGCCGTTTGATGTACTTTAGCACTTTGCTAATTTTATTCGTAACGTGACTCTCTCAGATAAGTGCAGGTGTACATATCAGCGGAAAGGAGGGTGAAGCCTCTGACCTTTTGAATGGTGCTTTTCAAAACATGCTTTTATGAGTGTTTTATCACTAATGCTGATATATAAACTGCTTCCGTGTGTGTGAATTTATTCACACAGGTGCCTAATCACTGGTGTGCAGTGCAATAACCTGAACATAATGACACCACCAAATGTGAATGACTATTTCTCTCTTTTTTTTTTAAGTAACTGCATGCACTGAAGTTCATGAATTCTGTCCTGCAGAGCTCAGAAGATGCTGGCGTGGGTTTGGTGCGGCAGAGGAGCTCAGGACTCCACCCCTATGACCCCCTCCCAGTGGTAATCATTGGTAAGCGCCCCCAGTGTACAGTGCTGCTAATGCCGTCCCCCATCCACCATCAAAAATCAATTATGCAACCGAGACTAACAAAGGAACAAAGCGAATTACAATCAGGCGGTGAGATTTACACAGTGTAACCCCTGTAACCTCTGTCTGAATGTCCCTTTCTTTAGTGAGAGCCTTCTAGCTAGCTAGGCTGGTCTGATTTAATGGTCAAAGTTCCAACCGGCTGCAGTAAATGATTGACAGAAGCCTTGAAGTGTGAATGGGGGTGAGTCATAATCGAACCACACGTGGGCTCCTCCAGCAATGATTAAACATTATGACCTCACCTCAAATGCAATCCAAGGCTATTGTGTGTGTGTGTGTGTGTGTGTGTGTGTGTGTGTGTGTGTGTTTTTTTTTTTTTTCTTGCAAATGACATTTATGTTAGTACGGGATTACAACATTCAGTACGTATCCATTATACAGTACTTGACTCACGTGTCAATCATATGTCGATTGCATATAACAGCACAGTGAAATGATTGTAAACTTCAATGAAAAGTCATCTAGTATTACAATGCAAAACTGAAAGCTAATAATGTAGCAACTCTATTTGGCTAAAAGATTTGCATTGTACATTTGGAAGCATCCAGTCTCACTCGTGATGGTGTGTTCAGGTAATGGGCCGTCTGGCATCTGCCTGTCCTACCTCCTGTCTGGCCACAGGCCCTATGTGAAGGCAGGAGCGTCGCACCCCAATCCCATTCTGCATCGGAAGCTCCAGGACATCACCGGGAAGTGCTTGCTGGAGCAGGTAGTGGGCACCTTCTACCAGGAATGTAATATCTGTGTGTTTATATATGGCCGCATAAACTTAGATTCAGGTTCAGGATTTTAAGGTTCAGGTTCAGGTGCACATTTTAATGCTGATGAGTGAATCGGACCAGATTTTTCTGCCAATTAAGCTTTGCCTGCTGCCCTCGATGTATTACAGCAGAGGCTTGTATGAGGTTCTGCACCACTGACCCAGAATCAGTGTGGTGTTGCGTCCGTGTGCACAGTGTCACAGGTCAGGGCACGTATGATACCGTCACAGTGGTCATACGCCGTGATTACGAGCACAGCGCGCTGTGAAATGGGTCTTCATCTTTTGCGTGTACTTCCACGTTAATCATGTCTGGCTAATTGTTTTGCTACATTTGTCCTCACGTATGTATGATATTTAACATTCAGTCAGCTTCTTCAGATGTTCTCGTTCTGCGTGGTCCAGGTACACCCTGTACCCTCAGTCTTGTGATTCTCCACCGGCTGACCCCTGCTGACCTGCTCTCCCTGCAGGACCTGGAGTACCTCTCCGAGGGGCTGGAGGGGCGCTCACACAGCCCGCTCGGCCTGCTGCTGGACGCCCTGCTCCGCCCGGACGGCGACCTGGGGGGGCCTGCGGAGACGCTGCTGGCCTGGCGCCGGGAACCTGAGCACCGTGTCACGCACTTGGTGTTGGGCAAAGGCCCAGTGGGAGGAGCCTGGCAGGTAAGAACTGCTGCCAGACTGAGAAACAGCGAAGCATGACAGAACCCAGCTTGTTCCAGAAGCTTCCAGGTGTATTTCTGGGTAGCCTGAAGGCTTCATTGCTGTCTCACATTTTATTTATCAGGCTATGGGAAGTTCAGTCAATTCCCACCATGTAAATACAGCATGCTACTCAAATTACTTTAATTAAACTTTTTTTTCCAGTTTTATTTTATTATGTCAATCCAAATGTTCTCAGTTCCTCTCCCCCCGTATTGGTTAGCTATCAGATTAATATGGCCGCCATCGCTTCAAGCCCCCTGCCACCGTCTCTTTACACCCTCCATTGTCCAGCACCCTGGCCAGACAGCGAGAGAGCTACGCTCTGTCCAGAAAGGCAGCGCAACCTCTAGCAATCCCTGACTTGCCCTTTAAGACCTTCCCTTTAAAACCTTCCCTTTAAGACCTTTTCTGTGGGTTTCGAAGAATTCAGAATAGTATATTGTCATTTGTACTAATACAAATACTGAGTACAATGAGACACATACTTGCGTGTTTCCTGCAGACTGCCATTGCACGGGAATCATTAAAGTATTTATGACTTTAATGAGTGAAAAGAGAAATGCTTGGGATCGCTTTCTGGTTTTGTTTATGGGTGTTTAGCTTGAGGCTGGATTAAAAAAAAATAGGGCTTATTGTGTAAATACTTTTTAACAATGATGTCATGCAGAGGGAGGCAACCAATCCCTGGCTTACCAACAAAGTCTTTCCAAGTAGTCTTTGGCTATTGCCTTTTTTTTTTTAACTCATTATGTTTACCCTGAACTTTTCAGGAATTTAAAAAAAGAATTACAAACATAACCTGCCAGGGCACTGTCTGTGCGTGACTTTATTCAGACGCCCCCACCCTGAAAAACATGCGTATGCACTAATGCACTTGCCAGGCAAATATTTCTGTTCTCCCTGTTACCTGCCCGTGCCTGACCTGACCATCGACGATATTATATTCACTAATACAACCTCAAATACTGAGAAAACATCTCCGGTGTGTGCGGGCCATGCTAAGGCAACGGAGACGCAAGGCCTTTCTTTGCTATATGTTACTATGCATCCTCCATGGTAATAATCTTAAATTGTATATAATGCTGAGGTTTATTAGCATTGTTGGTCACATAAGCACAGCAACAAAAGGAGGTGAGCTAGGAGGTCCAGTACCGACAGGCTGACTGGGGCGTAATGCAGCGCAGGGCTCTCCGTCGTAGCGCAGGGCTCCCCATGGCAGCGCAGGGCTCTCCCCATCGTAGCGCAGGGCTCACCATGGCAGCGCAGGGCTCTCCGTCCCAGCACAGGGCTCTCCGTCGTAGCGCAGGGCTCCCCATCGCAGCGCAGGGCTCCCCATCGTAGTGCAGGGCTCTCCATCATAGCGGAGGGCTCTCCCCATCGTAGCGCAGGGCTCTCCATCGTAGCGCAGGGCTCTCCATCGTAGCACAGAGATTGCTTCATTCGCCAGTTCAGATTTTTGCTGAAGTGCTTTTTCAGCTGTTGTCTCCTTATTTTGAATGTTGGTATATACAGTATAAGGATACAGGGAAGCGTACACATCTTACTGATGTCATGCTGCGTATGTCATGTGTCTGCGTATATGTGTATGTCTGTGGGAAACGCACAAGTAAGCATCTTATTGTACTCAGTACTTGTGTACTTGTATCACTCGGACAGTAAACCTTTTGAATCCTTTGAATTATAACCTGAGTAGCTGAAGCAGTTCTTTCTCCCTCTCTCTCTCCTCCTCCTCTCTTTCCCTCTCTCTCCTCCTCTCCCTCCCTCATCCTCTCTCTCTTTCTCTCTCCCCATCTCTCTCCCCCTCTCTCTCTTCCTCCCCCCCCC